GTTCTTGACAAATCCTTTGTATAATTATGCCAGGCCGACTGCCTGTTTCCTGCAACTACGTTGCGATGACAAAAAATTTGAGGCGTTTGAGACACGCGTGCATTGATTACAAATAAGCTTAACTACATTGGACTTAGTTATTTAGTCATCTCTAGTGAGGTGAAGCTAAGAGTAGATGCAAATGATATTCGCCTACATATTCTTTGCACGGCACACGAACGTTTACTCTCAACGCACACCCCACATTTGCAGCGGTAATCGTTGACTTCAAAGGAACTGGGAATTGAAACTGATATACCCATAATTTGAAACATGCATTTCTCTGTAATTACAAACAAGAATATCAGAATACGAATATTGCGGGATGGAAATGCCATTTCGTGCACACTCGTAGCCCCGTACATGCAAGTAACAGGGGATACAAAGCAATTTCACACCAAATGAATTATAAAATAAGTGATTCTGATTGGTGCGTTGCACTCTACCGTGGTGGACTTAGCGGCAGTCACCAGATTTTGGACAGACAGTGTTGGGCGCTGTAGAGCGATAACAATGGCGTCGAGGAGCTTGAGCGCGTGACGCCGTTGCGCATGAAGAGTATGGATGAATCAACCGGGTCTACCTGGTCACCTGTGCACATCAAATGTCGCCTAATAGCAGTCAACTCGTCTGCACAATTCACTGTGTGCAACTGTCCCATGTCCCACCCGTTAGCAGAGGCACTTTGGAATGTGTTCATTGATTCGAATACTTATGTTTCGATCAGTGCGCCTAAGATGTATGTGAATTCTATTGGCAATGGAACGCGCACTGCTTCGAGACAGATGCCTTCGCCGAACCTTTACGTATGCTCACAAACCCGCTTAACCAGTCACGAATCCGGAACGTCGCACAACTATAGTTCCGTTTTCTATTGCGCATCGCCGTAGGTGCGTATTCTATCCGTCCCCTGCTGGCGATCGAACCCATAGCAGTTGGCAGCTTACGCCAATCATGCAACAGCTTTTGATAGTGGACCATGGGGATGGAGGAAGACCGACAGAACATACAAGCTGGCTGGGATATAGCGTCACCCATCTTCTACTGCCATACCGTTTCATAAATATGCCGAGGACGGTGTCTGACCTATGAGGATAAGGCTTCCACTTCACAGCAGCTACGTTTGTATAGAATTTGAAGAATGTGAATTCCAATGCTTTGCTTACTTTTAATTTTACATAGCTAGGTCTAACTACTTTTTAAAGCAAAATTCTTTGAATGATTGGGCGATACTATCCAATTCCGACGCAGATAATTCTAGAAAATTAAGCGTTCTAATTTTCTACGCCAATGTGTCCCGGAACACACAAGAAGAACAGGTTTCTGTTTAGCCAACCAATACAAAAATGATCAAAAATTCCCTCCACCTTTCTGGTCTCATGTGTTTTCTTGGATATTTTCATTAACACAAGGTGTCACGTTTAGCCTGCTGTGAAACCTAACGATATCAGTATTCAAGCTAGAAGTTCACGGTACATAATTGTTTGCTTTTTCTAGCCGGATCGCTGGCTTCTTGCCATTGTGGTATGACTGCGCACGCAATTTACCAGATTTATGTACGTAGGCTTTGGGATTTACTTTCTACCCGTTGCTTAAACACGCAACAGTAAAGAAACTAGACTATTCTGTTGCGAAGATCTTGCAACCGAAAAAACATGATCTGTCCCAAAGAAGAGTACAGAATCTGTGTTCGCAATCTTTGTCCACCGTATTGCAAATCCCGAAATTACCAGTTCGTTGCCAGCTTCCAATACTCAACATTTTATTTATTTCAGGTAGCACTACTGCTTGAATTCATGGTCGAGGGGCTGTGCAACAGTCGATTCTGGCCGGAGAATTATAACACGGAGTTCATGACCAATGTTAAAAGGCCAATGGCAGATATATTTAACATCGTTTGGGATGCGTGTTATCGTGTCACATTATAGCTGCAATTCCAATTATTTTTGATTGCACACGCATGTATTTCATCAACATTAAAAAATTTCCCGCTGCATCCATGCTCTCAATGTCGCATTCGGTTGCCTGATTTCAACTTTGAAATGCAAATGTTAACTTTGGGCTCAGTTTGCTAAGCACACTTCATTTTACCACTTCAGTCAGGGAGGTATTTTTGATGAAATTATACCTTGTATCGAGCAAGCATATATAATAATAATACCGCCCCTATCACTTGTCGCCGACTCCGGATCGCCCTCCTATGCTACGACTGTGCGTTGTTGTTTGATGTCTTCATTGCAAAATTAGAGAATTCCATGCTACCTGCAAATATCACGGCCTTTGATGTCATCACCGCAACGTGAAGGACATCTTAGTTGTTGCCGATCAGTCTGTTACCATGATGCTGTTATTGACCGTTTTAATCAGTCCCATGCAGCAATTCAGTTAACCTGCGAGAATGGATTTAAAAAGCGGTTTCCTTTTCCCGGTACCATGCTAACTAGAATGGCAGTCGGTTTGATTTAACTGCAGGTCTACAGGAAGAAATCCCTGGAGCAGACAGTATTCGAAGATGTCTACAAATTCTTTCAGTTGAAATATAAGCGAAAGTTAATTCGATGTCTAACCACAATACCCGCAGGATCTGCTCTAAAACAAATTGAACAATGGGTTGGATGTACATTCAGAAGTTATGTGAGAATAGATATCCTGACCATTTCATGCTTAAGCACGTGCAACACAAAGCCGACCTGTCGCAAGTTCAAACAACAGAAAATAAAGTATTGTTCAAACGACTACATCTCAAGGGGACGCAGCTGCTGAGTGTGTAACTAGAACCCGTTCAACAGCTGTTAAGACAACGTTCCCAGTAGCCAAGATTAAATGTACCATCTCCACGGAGCCACTCATCAGTATTTACAAGAAAAACAAGTTGCGGACGCTGAAAGCTTCTGTGGTCATTTTTCAGTTTCAGGACGCCTGTGGCACTAATTACTTCGGTACAACTGCGCGGCTCCTTTTGAAACGCCATAATGAGCACCTTCGACACTGCTTGCGTCTGGGTGGTACCGGGGGTATAACACGCTCTGTTATGGCTCAGCTTGTTGATAGTGTGAATGAGGTTGACGCAGTCCTTGCTTTTCGAATACTATATAGGGTCTTGTCACTCCAGTAGAAAGGCCAGCGTCTACGCACTCTTGTTACTACCGAGGCGATCAGCATCCGTTTGTACCAACCGCTTTTGTGATCAGAGAGGTAGCTGATCGGAGCTCCTAAGCTACTTTGGACAGACAAAACAGATGTTTTTTAGGCCAGCTGTAATCCTTTATCTACATCTTTCTCCTAGTTTGTCATTTGTTGCTGGTGTATGCCGTGGGTGGCATAACTGGTCGCATCCATTTTTCTGCTCAGTGCTATTTCACTCATACGTTTGGACGGTTCTGATGATGAATCACCGAAAATAATTGTTTGCTTTGGCCCTTTGTTCTTAACAATTACAATCGACAGGATTGCGGTATTTGTGTAATACTCACAAAATGCAGCAACCTGACACAGGAAGTGTCTGACTGGTAATACCTCGGATGGAAACTGAGGTTGGATGTAACATCACACCAGAATAAAGGAGATAAGGACATGGTTAAGCAATCTGTGATTTCACACTACATGTGTCAACAACGAACTCAGTTGATCTTCCGCTTTCAAACTAAAGACTATACTGCAAATGCCATTAGCCCATATCAGTCAAGGTTAGCGAGGTGAAAGCAACAGGTAACTTACTCATGTTGTCCGTCTCTGTTACGATCCAACGTCTAATTTCGTAATCTATTAAGAATACGCGTAGACACAGTCAAGCCAAGTAAGCGAACAACAGCTCACACGCGGAAAACAGATTCGGCTTCATATCGATAGTCCCAGACCCAAGGAGGTAGAAGACATGACCCCCGAAACAAATCTATTCTGATGACAAAATGGGCTTATAAATGAACCACTTGGTTATCATTTGTCTACTAATGACCAGCGATTTGCCTATCCCGTTCCTGGTTTGAAGCGAGAACGCATGTGCAAGCGTCGTTATAAAACCAACATAACGGTCAATAATAAATACACATTAACCGCATAGCCGGTTGCAATATTTATAGGCGAACCTAAGACACATCTGGACCGCTAAGTCCCCTATTCTGCTGGAACAACGGTTAGTCATCTTGTATATTTAAGAGATAAATCCTGTGTTTTAAGTGAGCAACAATGACTGGATGGTCAAGGACGTTGCAAAACATAAGTGCGGGTTGCTTCATTTAGTGTATGCTACTGTCAGACAATCCATGCTAAACCCGACTATTGCATTGGCATCAGGCGTTTGTGGGATATCGTCCCATCCTCGACATGTCGTTGCTGGACTCTTGTTCGAACTTTATCGCAGACCGTTAGCAAGCCAATACGCTTGGCACGGCAAGGTTGCCGGCAAAACCGGTAAACTTGCAGCACCCTATGAATAATTGAATAGTGAATTATTTCGCTATAATGGCAACCGCGGTGACAGTGTCATAAGACGTACCATCACAAAACTTTATGTATATCTTTCATTTTCCACACCCACAAATCTTGTTGCCAGGTGAGGTAAGTTAATGTCCAATCTTGCATACTTCTGATCTTCTAACAGATTAAGCACCAATCCCTATGAGGATGGAAGCAGACAAAAAGTCGTATGCCTTGCATCACCTTGAACCCACACAAGCCAGAGGAATGTAAAACAGAATTATTTTCGCTACAACTATGTATACTGGGTGGCATGCAAAAGCCGATGCTGAGTGGCGTGCTCGATCTCAGCCCGGAGATAAGCAAAAGCGCGCCGAGGGTGGAGCGCACATATTCCGTGGCAGATTATTGGAAAAGCAATTGGTACTATTATAAATCAATAAATAAAATTTTCTTCTCGACTACGCGCGACACGCCACAAAGGCATGCTCTGTGTACTTGTGCGTTAAAACACAGAGTATTTGTGTGTTTGCGATTCATGGTACCTGAATACACCGCAGCTGTGTTCATGTTTCGCCCTGCGCGCTAATCAATACCGACCGGCTGTCTAACATCTTATTGGTTCAAATGACATGGGGTAGGTTAAGTGATCGGAACTACCACATCACATTCGACTTTAGGCAATGTCAGCGGACGACAGCCCCTTACTTTCTGTTACACCAAGTGAGGTGCTTTATATTAAAGGTGAGTTCAATTAATTTCATTTTGCTGCGTTTCATGGATCACGAGCAGTTTCGGAATTTTTAACCCTTCCTTATTAGGACGCAGGACCGATATCGGGTATCCGCAAAAACGTTTTCACTTCCGGTGTTTTCTTACTTATCAGGATGTCAGTTATTTACCTAGATACTGATTCTAGTCCAAGTTAAGATGTCCGAACTGCGGAATAATTTATCTAGTAGAGAATGGGTTGTTCTTAACATTGGGGGCTGCTGCTTAGTTTAAAGTGGATGTTGATCATTTCGATCACTAGGACAGATTTTGAAGCTCAGGGATCACTGTGTAGCCTAAAACCTGGATATGTTGTTTGACGAATGAATTGTCCATTAACAGGCAAATTTGATTCATTTTCCGCGCCTGGCACAGCGGCTAGGATTTCAGAGCTGCGCTTTTGAATATTCACCATGTGTTTGTGTTTCATCAGGCAATCTGTTGTCCTATGTAAATAGTGGGTGAGTCAAGGAAAGTCAAGGATTTCTTAAATTGTTCCATTCTGAGAGATACGACATTTTAGGAAACAAACTACACCGCCGCTTCATCTTTTTGACGCAGATCGACAGCCAGCATCCCGCTCAGAATCCGCTGCGTTCAAACTCATGATCAACTGTTGTAGAGCGGAATGCATGAGTCCGGACTGGGTAAGGGGGTAAGTAAGTGGGATAAAACTTTTAGAAATGCTGCAACGCCGTAGAATGTAAATGTTGGCTTTTTAGATCGTCGGCTCCATTATATTGTTAGATGGATATGCGTTGAACCAATCCACTAGTGATGGGCTCAATTTGCGTCCTGGTTATTTCTATCGTAAAGATACCGTTTCCTGAAACAGTGGATTAAATAAATAAATAAATAAAAAATTTTTATTCTCGACAAGGCGAGGCACGCCTTTACAGGCATGATCATTATGACAACAATGCGTGGTCTAGAATGTGCAAGAATACTTTATGTTTGCCGTACCAGTGTATGTTTATGTAGGGGGTATGTAATTATGTAACTGTGTGTGTGTGGGGGGTGTCACTGTGAGGTTCCTGTTTGTAACTGTGCTGCTCTAACTTTGACTCTCATATCGTCGGCAATGCTCGAGTAGAAGATGGATGTCCGTGCGTTGGAAAGGATTATTCGGATACCCACGGGGCAGTGACTTTATTTTGTGGCGAGTCACGACCGCCACGTCACAGTGTTGTTAAGCAGACATTTGTGGTTTTTTATAGGGAGAACGCTTGCCAGGCGAAAACCCACCACGTCCTGGAACACTGCCGCCGAACTACTTGCTGGAACGGGTCAAACCCGAACCACCCAGCTGGCACCACGAGGAGGTTGTTCGGCTAGCCAGCCATAGTCATTAAACGGTTATTTTTACACGGGTGAGAAGACAAATGCTTAATGTTGCAGCAACAAAAGAAGAAGTAATCTGGTACTGTAGAGGGATGTGTGGGCACCCTGTAGGAACGTAAGAGTAATTTCAATTATTTAGAGGATGCAACGTGTTGGCATAATCGCGCTAGCCAATCCAAAGCAAACCAATGCGTACTTCCACGGACGCAACTTCAGGTAATATGTGAGACAGCGAATCAGCAGCAAACTGAATTCGAAGTAGCAATGTAGAACGTAGCAGGGTAAATGATATTTGACGAATCTCATAAGTAACACAAAGAATTATATCAGGAGTAAAAGGTAACGTGTATCGCTGGACACACTATAAACTCAATACGCGCACACAGCTTGCTTTCCCTGTGTCGTGTCCCAAAATTGAGACTAAATCATGTAATGCGGGTGATAGGGAATAATATAAAATCATGTTTATTAATTCGGTTTCCGTAACTGAGGAGATGAAAGAATTTGGCAGCGCGTCCCATAATTGCGATGTACGAAGTGAAGTCATGGCGTCGACCAAACCGGTTATACTCATCGGCCAAATTCTCATGCAGAAATCATGGACATGCAGCTGCCTTTGAAGTCCTGTTGATAAAGTTTGATTTTGCAGCAGAACGGAACACTACTTAAGCACGGCTCTACCCATGCTTAGTAATATGCCTAGGTAATATTTTATACTTACTGAGGAAATGTTTCCTGGCAATATTCGGTGCACCCTTGGTTAGGAAAAGCTATTGTGTCGTGTAAACATGAGAATGTATTGCGTCGTAGCTGGTTAGGATTCGAGTCGTTTGTATTCTATTCTCAGGGTAGCTGATGTACAGGAAATACAAGGTGGCGTGAGTACTGCGGTCGAGAAATGTATTGATGAATATATCAGGTCCAACATTAATATCCTGCGTTTTCCCATCAATCTGCTCGGACGAGTAACGTAACCGCAGCGCGAAAATGTTATGTTTGGGACTTGTTGTTCTGCACTGAATTATTTTACTTCGGGGAGAGAGAAGAGTGTTGCAACTGATAATGTTCGCGTTGTAGAGGTAAGCTTAGTTCGCTTGGCCATCTCCTTTGGACTGAACGTGGAACGTGGATTTATTTTCACACATAATCAGGTTCGTTGCCTATCATAGGTTAAATCTGTCGCTCATCCGTTGCTCGACTGCATCTGTTCCTCTTTCATACGTCTTCAGTAGCACAGCAATAAGGCTACCAACTGGGAGAGTACAACATGCTTGACAAAACCAAAATTTAAGTGTCGTGCGATGGTGCTGTTTCGTTGCTTGCGGCAGCATATCAATACACATGGTGTGATAGTATATTGAGCAACTGGTGCACCATAGCTTGGTCTTCACAACTTCAGCATATAATTCACAAATATTCAACGTGAAACTTGTTCTCTGATTGAATGCAGTTTTAAGTGCACGAGTGTGTCGGATAATCAAAACGTGTGGATTTCCGCGTCGACAGTAACCGTGGGTCAGCATGTTATGAACAAGGAACAATGCACATATATTTTATACAGGTAAAGGTGCACTGCTTTACAAGCCACTTTGAGTAGTCTGGTGGGTTTTGGAAAAACGGTAATGAAAATAGCAGCTAGTAATTCTACTGTCTATTGTTTTAATGTCTACTGTAATGCTGAAGCTCGGCACTCCAAGAGTTCGCATAGTTTCAGTAGACGGAAAGAAGTAAATCCAATGTCTTTTCCTAGAATAGGATGGATAGCATCGTCAAGTGACAAAATGTAAGTAGCAGAGTGCGTTATACAACTGACATTTAAATGTGGCTATCGAGCGTGCAGAACCAACCAACTCGAGGAGAGCATTCCATGTTGACACACGAATTGAAAAGGAATTTCTACGACTCCCTAAACGGCTGTACAGTTTTGCTAATTTTAAGGATTGGCCTCTAAGTTTGGTGTTGCTGCTGAGTTGCAGTAAAGAGTGGCACACATATTTTGAGTTGTGTAAAATCAAATAAGCCATAAGCAAGTCTCCCCGTAGTTGACGATACTCCCCGCTGAATAATGCAAAACGTTTCCTCCTCTGCTCGTGTGGATGGTAGTGCATTCCAATGATGTAGTTAGGGTGTTGACATTGAGGTTGGTCCAGTGCAGTGAGGTCGTGCTTCAGCCATGACTGCCAGACTTTGATAAGGTATTCTACAAGGGAGAGTACATACTCATTGAGCATATGTGTGCAAATAGGGGAGTCTAGTTGTCAGAACGCCCGGCGTAACAAGCCGACGTACTGGTTAACATGTTTCCATGCCTTTGCGGAATGCTTGGAACAACCCAAGTCATCCTAAGCAAGAAAGCCATGGTCGCGTTCCATAGAATATCGCTGCAATTCCTGCATTCTTCCCTTTACGTCTACCTATTCTGGTGTCGTATGGAGAGCAACGTGCATTTGTCCACGTTGAGCTGCAACAGATTTCGGGTTGACCAATCATATACAATATCCAGATCCCAATGAAAAATTTTGTTCTCAGTATCCGCCTGAATCCGGCGGACAAATCTGGCTCGAATTTTATGGGGTCAGATAAGGCACTCCTAATCTGACTACTTATTGCCGTTGCGCGAGAATTTTGGCGAGCCTTCTCAAGAGAAGCTCATCGATACCGTAATACTGGAGCTTGGAAAGGTGAATCCGAGGATCTAAACGCTCGAAGGTCTTCAATAGATCCAAGTAGATCACATCAACGTCCTATCAAACGTCAGCTAACTTGGTCCAACAACTCAGTGTGATTAATGGTTGCGTTGTTCACCATCGCTGTCGGCGAACGCCGTGTTGCATGCGTGGGTGTGTTTCCTAGATAACACACCCACGCATCAGCAACAATGGCTTCCATGACCCTGGACAATACAGGGGGAAGAAACACTTGGCGGTAATTTGAAGACCCTGTCCTGATACCGTCTTGGTAAATCGGAGTCAATGTTCTAAGCTTCTACCTCGCAGGAATCTTATTCTGGTCTAAACAGCGATGTAAATACTGAGCCAAATGTTTCACCAGTTGTCTTGCTGCCGCTTACAAAGCTTCTGAGCGAATTGAGTCGATTCCCGAGGAGCTGTGTATGCGTAAATTCTTCAGTTTTGCAATACAGCTTGGGCAGTCAAAGAGATGTGGGTGGGTCCTGGAGATGAGAAACAAATGTTGAAAGATAAGCTGATGGCAAGACACTCTGAAATGTGGGAGCATATTGAGTCTGTATAGCGTATGCTGCTTCTATATCTGTTCTAGTTGGACTATCAGTTATTCGGAGCGGAGGAATTCAGTGCCTCAAGTTACGACGCTCACTGACATACTTGAATATCCGTTTATGGATAGGGCTGAAAAATTTAGCCATATTCTGCTGAGATACAACTCTCTCATCTCTGAGAAATTGAGGGAATTGTTTACGGCGGTTTACGTAGTTGTCTTAATTCTCCGGCGTTTGTGGTGATCTATAATCTCGCCAGGCTGCGTTGCGTACAGTCATTTATTTTTGAGTTCTGCTCTTTACCAAACAAACGGTTTACGTCTACTATAAACCCTTGTTTCCGCGACATCCTTAACCAGTGGAATGAATTTACTGAGGAATTTCAGCCAAGCGA